TAATAGGTCACCGCCGCACGAGACGCCCGCGACGCCGCTGGACGGCAGCACCCCGCTCGCAGCAGCCCGCGTCCAAACAGACCTGACGGACCCGCCGCGACCGGGCACCGGGCGGCGCGCGCGCGTCGGAGACGGCGAGACGTCACCACGGCCACGAATCCCTACAGCCGGCGACCATTGTACTTCAGCCGCGCGCCTCCCACTCGGCTTTAATGAGCCCGTAATGACCACTCGGCGACCATCCATCGGGGCGAGCGTGCGGACACGCTCCGGGAACAATGGCCGGCCGGCCGGACGGCGCCCGGCCGATCTATCGCACCGATCGCCCCCCGCGAATCGGGGGGGGGGAGGGGGGGTTGCGCAAAGGACGAGCCGAAACAAGCGCTATCTGGAGAATCGGACAGCACCGGTAACCGGGAGTTATGGCTTAATGCGCCCAGTCCGAGGGCTAATGATGGAGCGTCGGGCGGCGGCACGCCGGGGATGCGGCGGTGCGCGCACGTGCGTGGAGACACGGTGTGCGGGGGTGCGGGTGGACCGGGCTGACTCACAGGTGTTCAAACAGTGCCCACCATAGTGCCGGGTGTCGCGGTACACACCGCACGCCGGCCAGGCGGCCCGACCAGTGGCCGCAGTGGCCGAATGGGAGGGGGGGGGGGGGGGGAGGACAAATGTTACGAAAACAGGGCTCATTTGTTAGCCTGCACCTCCTCGTTTCATGTGCTCCACTTTTTAGTGCCCAGATAGTAAATTGAGTAAAGACGATATCCAGTCACTATCAAACTCCAGAAGTCAAGCGTAACGCAGCTTGCAGCACTAAATATGTCCTTCTTGTTCTTGATTGAAGCCTACAAAAAGTGTGGTACGCAATCGTTATTCTTGCACATACCTCGGCTCTTATTGTCCAGCGGGATCTTCACCTCGCATCCTCGGTATAAGCCTAACCTTGGAACACCGGTGAGCATTCGTGTCAAATCGTGCCGCCAGCAACATCGGGAGTCAGACCAGTAATGCCAGTACGGCCGCACAGGAGACAAGTGGCCAGAACATACCCATCGCTTATTCTCCTAAGGCTGGTTCGCTGCTTGTGGCACGAAACCGATCGAAGAATCGTCAGGTCTCCTTCCGCGTCGGGGCACCATTCCCGGAAACCACCGGCTCCGCCTGAACCCCGCGTTGACAGCCGCATAACGGGAACTCGAAGCATCGTGCCTCCTTCCCCCTCCCCACTGTCGCCCCCGCCCTCGCCAGCCGCTAATCGCACCTGACGTCCCCGCACCGTAATTGCGGCGTGGCGCGGTTTTATTGGTACGCGCGGGGGTATCAGCTCAGGCCGTCCCACAAAGCCCCACGTCGGCGCATGGACAGAGGAGTCGTCTGTTGGGACTCATTAGAGCCGCGACCCGTCGTGCCGGTACCATCTGGTGGCAGGGTAGGGGGTGAGGGGCAGGGGGCAGGGAAAAGAGGCGGCGCGGGGCGGAAGCTGTCTCGGGGGGGTGGGGGTGGGCGGCAGCAAGAAGGAGTACACGGAACAGGTTGACCGGCAGGTGTCTGATGTGAGCCACGCCTTTCAGATAACAGGCCCCCACGCACACGTTTCGACAGGGACGAAAGTGGGGCTCGAAAAAACGACAGCCTTTACAAGCGCTTCCGATAGTTGGACACACGACAGGAAGCATTGGGTTTTCCACCTTCGCCCCACTACTGATTTCGTAAGACGTCGCTGGCCTTTTTCCCCGTCGTGAGCGCAGCGTGATACATCAGCGGCTTAGCAACAATTCAGCATGTAGCTCCGAGCTGTACTATCCATCACTCACTAGACGCGGAAAACGTTCAATCTCTGCACGGTCATACTGAAGGCTCTGCAACGGAAATACTGAAGGCTCTGCACGGAAATGCTGAAGGCTATGGCGATTGCGCCAGATTGACGTGAATCAACTCAGGCAAGTTTAACATTTCCTTATGAAATCCCGACCAATGCGCATTGTGCACGGGAGCTTAAGGTATCTCAGTTTGGAAAGGCCTGCCACGAACTGTAACGCCTGGGAGGATCTGACCACTTGCATCTCGTATGCAATATGCCACATGTGGCCATTTCCCACAAACCGGTGGGCAGTTTTGTGCACCGCCCTGTTGCTCGAGGGCCACTCACTCCGCCACGCGAACCATCAAGACAGAAACCACTCGGTGGGCGCCGACCGCAAACGCTCACTAACGAACCGCACAAATGCTGATCATGATGCGGTTCTCCATCACAGTCGACGGGCTTCCATTCGGATAACGTTGCGTGAGAAGATTTCCGGCGGTGAGAGCGGCGAACAGCGTCACGGGGAGAGCCTGCGTCGTTAAAGACGCCCAGTCAAGTTTGGCGCGTGGCGCGGTGCGCCAAACGTACCCCGCAGGTCACCGACAGACGGGTCAGTGGAACAGGTCAAACACACCGACATGTCAGCGAGTATTGGTCACGTCAGGGACCTTTCCGTTGCTCATTGCTGACAAAACTAGACAAGCGCAAACTGCAGGCACAGGCGGGCAGCCAAACTGCAGGCGCAAGTCCCCGACGGTGTCAATATATCGGCGCAGCGTTCCAGCAAACGGCCAAGCGGCCGCATAGATGACGCTAGTGATGCAAGCTACAACACTGACATCCATGCCCCGGGTATTATCAATTCGTGAACACAAAAAACAAAGATGCAAACATCGCCCAAGACAAACAGCGCAACAGCACACACAGCAGGTACCGGGTATACACGCCCCCAAGCCAGCCGCACCGAGCGAACGGTCAGATCCTGGATTCCTGCAGGTCGCAAACAGGGGGCGTTACCGCCAGCCTGGCGGCGGCGCCGGACACGCGCCCGTCCTCGGCAAGCGCCGGAGCGACGCCGGGCCCAAGCCGGCAGTGTGTCCGCGGTGAACGGTGAATGGTGTCCGCGATGACCCCCACCACCCGTCGGCAGGTGGGCGCGGGGGTGGGGGTCATCCTCAGCCCTCGCCCCGTGCAGGCGCACGCAGCGGCCCTGCAGATGTGCCGGGCCGACGGACGGCGGTTGGGGGGGGGGGGGGGGTGCAGACAATGGGAGTTGTGGGACGGCGGTGACCTTGAGCCTACCGAGACCCTGGCGACCCGCGCGACCTCCGCTGCACGGCTCAGCCCCACCCCGCCCCTCCGCTCCTCCTGCTGC